CAGCAAACTTGCTAAACCGCAGATCTTGTGTTTCAGTAGTCTCACCTCAAAATCATCATGTGTATAATGAGCAATGCCTTTCATCATCTGCAAAGTGGGATCAATACAAAACTATAATATGTAATGGTGTATACACCCTCTGTATGTAAATGACTGGTGTGTTTTTTTTTTTGTTTTTTTTTTCTTTTGCAATTGATCAGTCAATATAGCAAAGCTCAGAGGGAAGGGAAAAGCCACACAAAGCAAAAAAGTTGGCTGTACAGCATGCTGATAGGTTCATCATCCTATCGGTGTTCTTCTTTTTCACGGTCTTTTCAATGTGTGCACGCCAGTAAGTGAAAATCCGGTAGAGAAACATCAGGTTCCCTCTTTTCTAGACAAGGCTGTGTTGTGGGACAGAGCTGTGTAAATCTCAGGACTGGAGGGTCAGTAATGTAAATCTTTGGCAGATATATCTGCTCCCATCTTTGTATTTAGCTATTCATCTGAAGTTCTGCTTTTGTTTGCAATCTGCCAGCATGCTGTTGGATTTTGTTTTGTAGTGGGAAGACACATTGCTTTAGTTAATCTTGACAACTGGTCATCGCGTAGTATACCTACACATACGGTAGCTGCTAGTAAAATGCTGATTCTTGTGGATTTAAGTTCTTGCAGCTGTTGATGGCATATTGCAGCAAATGGTGCCCACAAAAGCAGCTTTTTGTCTTCACACAGAACAGCATTCTTGGGCAAACTTGACCTAGCAGCAACTGGTAGCTTTGAGAAGAATGATTACATAAAGTTTGTATATGTAAGTGGAATGACTATGCTATTCTAAACCAAGCCTTAAACATTTGGCAAGTAGTGATGTAACATGCCTATTGATGTTGTACATAGACCAAAATAATTCCTTAGTAAAAAGGAAAAACAAGTGTAAGGATGTATGTCAATGGGCCAAGGCTCCATTAAAGTCTTTCCAAAACCTGGCAAGAACAAATGTGAAATCCATGGCCGCCACATTTTTGGAGTACACCAAGATCTTATCTTGCATGGTATCTTCCATCTTTCTGTGGATTATGGCTTCTGTGACCCTATTTCTAGTCTAGGGCACAATTTGGGTGTATTCCAGGCATTTACTGATGTCTGCTTAGCATCAGTTGTGACCTGCATGTGAATGCTAAACTGCCTTTTTAGAAAGCTTAAAGGTGTTCCTGTTATCCTGAGGAACCTTCAGAACCTTCGCAAGCTGGTGAATAGGAGGGGCAGACCTATTGTGTGCAGGAAGCAAATACTACTGCAATAAAACTTTGAACTTCAAGAGCTGGCGCGTTCTGACAAGACATAGTTGCTGTAGATGAGTGTAGGTGTGTCCTAAGCCCTAAATCCACACGCTAGCTCTAGTCAACTGGTCTTTTCACATGATCAAACTGATTTTTCTCTGTAATAGCTAGGAGAGTGACTAGTTTCCCAAACATACTGTGTGTAATGTCTTTGGACAGCTTTTACAGGATTTGAAAAACTTGTTTTAGTAATTTTTTTGAGAATTCCTTATATTGTCTCTCCACCTCCTCCCCTCACACGTGTTTTTACGTAAAGAAAGTTTTTTTTTTTTTATTTTAAATATAAATGATCTATCGCCGATATTAATTATAAGGCCTAAATGGGTCCCCCCCCCCCCCCTGAGTACAACTCTCCACAGTGAGAATCTGGGGTGTCACCAGACCTAGAGTCCCCATTGGTAGATTTCTGCTCTTACTGTTCTGGTGTCACCCCAAATTTTGGCATTTTCTTTTATTTACACTTTCATGGATAACAGTAAATTAGGACACAAAATATAGAGCGTGAATCTTCCTAATGGGCACAGACAGCTATAAAAACTGAGATGTTCCCCTCTACTCCATCCAAAACCTAAAGCGTTTGCCTTTTTTATTACACTTTGAGAAATTTTTCTTCTAGGCCCCAGGAGATTTTTTTTAGAGCCTTTACATTTCATATTGTACTATAGTTCATACTTGGCAAGCAGCTAGTATTTCTTTTGTTTGACACGGTTGTTTTTATAGAATATCTATATACCCCCCATCTGTCCATCCATGTCTCAATATTTTATTTTTATGAGAAATCACTCTGAAAAACACCCCTAGCATTTGTGGTCATATTTAATCTTGAGTAAGGGCAGATGATTCTTGTAGCATTTACGTCTGGAATGTCTGCCCTTAGCTCAGGCATGCAGGCAGGAGTATATTCTTAGCTGAGAAAAACCCCTTCTCTCCTGAAGACTCCTGATATGACATTTGCCTAGGCCTGGAAACCAGAAAGTAACTGAAGGAAACATTTTTAAAACCAGTAAATATGATATACAATTCCATTTACGAATGCTAGCGGTATAGGGATTCAAAATAATCCATGTTAATTGAGAGACATTTTGTTTTCCTGCCCTAAAGGCTTGCAAACCAAAAAAATTAGCAAACCCTATCAGTTCCAGCCATAAGGAATATGTGAATTCTGCTGCTGGGCACAGTCTGTTTCCATCAGTAATGATCTTCTGTCCCTAGCCAGAGGTAATCACTGATTGTGTGAACACTTAAGCTTGGCTCAGCGGCCACAGCTCTTCATGACATCTTTGATTCTAGCCAGAGAAATCTGCAGATTTTAGTCACCGGAGTTTAGTGTGTGTGTTAATTGAGCATTTGATTGCACACTTCTAAATACTTCCTTCAGAAGGCTGCCAAGGTGCTGCTGAGAAGGTGGACTGGGCTTACTTAAACTGACAATTCAATACTTCTGCTGTAAGGTTTGAAGATGAATTGCTGCACAGTACCTACCACTACAGAGGTTTTTGTTAGGAATATGTGTACACTTGAATGTCCCTAGCCTGGCCAAAGGCTCACTTTTTAGATGGTTTTTAATAAAACATTCTTGACTTGTCTTTATAGCCATTCCCCCTTCTCCCCAGCATACAATAGCTGAGAAAGATGCGACCTGGAAGGAAATGCTGCTTTGATTCATTTATGATTCAGTTAAAGTAATTGTAAAACTATACATTGTTTCCTCCTAAAATAAAAAACATGTTCGCAATCCATAACAAATGGTGCTTTGGGTGAAAGAATCCACAGGATGGGTGGCACAAATCCTCCACTGGATCCCCCCAAAGGTGTACTCTCACCTGGTAGATTGGCCCTCACTACAATGGTCAAACTTGCGTGAAGGACACACAATCCCCAATTCTGCCAGAATTCAATCCGCACACATCAGAATTTCTCTCCCTCAATGACCAATGGTTCACATAGAATCTTAGCCTCAAGCTCTAAAATGTCCTTTGGATGCCTTCCTGTCAGTAGCCTGATGGATGCAATACAGGACACAACATTCCCAAGCTGTGAGATGATGGCTGTAGAATAGATCACTGTCTATAGATGTTTCTGTTTCTGCACTGGTGGCACTTCTTCAGGAGTAAAACGAAAGGAAACATAGGACACAGAGGTTCCCCTCTCCAACCTGCACCTCCCTTTTCAGTATGTGTTTCCCCTTCCAAAAATAACACCAATGCAATATCAGAAACCATCTTCACATACAGTGGGGGAAATAATTATTTGATCCCCTGCAGATTTTGTAAGTTTGCTCACTTACATAGAAATGAAGGTTCTATAATTTTTATCATAGGTGTATTTTAAATGTTATAAATTAAGTTGCAGTTAGTTATCCCCTACCAGCCAAAAATAATTCTGGCTCCCACAGACTAGCTATGTGCTACACAGATTAGTCCTGTCAATTTAAGATGGTGCTCCTAACGACAACTTATGTATAAGACACCTGTCCACAGAATCGCTTCTTCCATTCAAGACCAAAGAGCTGTCAAAGAACGTTAGGAATAAAATTGTAGACCTGCACAAGGCTGGAATGGGCTACAAGACCATCAGCAAGAAGCTTGGTGAGAAGGAGACAACTGTTGTTGAAGCAACTATTCGCAAATGGAAGAAATACAAAATAACCATCAATCACCCTTGGTCTAGAGCTCCATGCAAGATTTCACCTCATGGGGTAAGGATAATCATGAGAAAAGTGAGGGAGCAGTCCAGAACTACACAGTAGGAGTTTGTGAATGATCTCAAGTCAATTGGGACCACAGTCACCAAACCATTGGTAACACAATACGCCACCGTAGACTTAATTCCTGCAGTGCCCGCAAGGACCCTAAAGAGTTTGCCAATGAACATCTAAATGCTTCAGAGAAGGATTTGGAGCAAGTGATGAGGTCAGATGAGACTAAAATTGAACTCTTTGGCTTTAACTTGACTCTCCGTGTTTGGAGGAAGACAAACGCTGACTATGACAGTCAAGCACGGCAGTGGAAACATTGTTTTGGGGCTGTTTCTCTGCAAAAGGTACAGGCCAAATTTGCTGCATTGAGGGGACAATGGACAGGGCCATGTATTGTAAAATCTTGGATGAGCACCTTCTTCCAGAACACAGAAGATGGGTCGTGGATGGGTCTTGAGTCAGCATGACAATGATCCAAAACATGCCGCCAAGACAACAAAGGAGTTACTCAAGAAGAAGCACATTAAGGTCTTGGAGTGGCCTGTCCAGTCTCCAGACCCTAATCCTATAGGAAATTTATGGAGGGAGCTGAAACTTCGAAAAGATCTGTAAAGAAGAATGGACGAAAAGTGGGCAAACTTACAAAATCTGCAGGGGATCAAATAAATATTTTTCCCCACTGTATATATTTTCTGCAGATCAACTAACATGAGAAGGGGACATAGTGTCAGTGTTCTGTGAAGCGGATTTATAAGAGCACTTCAGTGCTCCTTGTTTGTGTGTGTGTGTGTTTTTTTCTATTTTTGGCTGCTGACGTTTTCTTTTCCAAGTCTTGCATTTGTTTACGAAGCGCTATTCGGCGACAGCAAAGCAATAACATTGAATTAAATGGAGTTTCTAGTGTTTGTGGTTTGTGTTTTATAGATATGAAAAAAATTGTTTGTGTCCAATTTTATAGTAAATTTTCTTTCTTTATTTTTCAGTTTTAAGAAAAAAGATGCTGAGCTGGTTAGTGCACAACATCGCAATAAGGACCTGGAGGCATTGCATTTCAGGAGTGAGGCAGAGCTTACAGCCGCCCTAGATGGGAAGAGGAAACTGGAGGCAGAAGTGGCTGATTTGCGTGCTCAGCTTGCTAAGGTATAATATTGGTTAGTGTAGGTAGTCTGCAGATTGAGAGAAGCAGACCTGTTTTCTGAACACCACTGAGATTTACATTAACCATAATCATTTTAAAGTGTATTTCCATTTTTGTATTTAAATTGGGAAACCCTTTTTAATACCTGCCATGTGAACATGTATAAATTGCAGTGTATATGTATGTGTGTGTATATATGTATGTATGTGTGTGTGTGTATATGTGTGTGTGTGTGTGTGTATATATATATATATATATATATATATATATATATATATATATATATATATTCTGAGACAAATAATAATTTCAGAACTTTTTTCCACCTTTTAATGTAACCTATAAACTGTACAACTGTTGAACAACAAACTGAAATATTTTAGGTGGAGGGAAATAAAAAAAAAAAAAAAATATATGGTTGCATACGTGTGCATACCCTTAACCACCGCCCCGCCTTATAAGGCAATGACGGGTGAAAGGTGGTTCTTTCGTCCTGGGAGGACGTCATATGACGTCCTCCCGTTCTAACCGTGCATGGGCGGCTTCGGGAGCGCCCAGCGTAGTGATCGGCTGTTCGCTGTGTCCCTCGGACACAGCGTATCACCAATCAACGGAAAGAGCTGAAGATTTCGGCTCGGTCTTATGATCAGCTGTGCTCAATCACAGCTGATCGCATGTAAATAGGGAAATCCTGGTTATCGGCATTTCTCTCCCCACGTGCTGTCACACTGACAGCTCGAGAGAAGAGCCGGTAATCCTTTCCTCGGAGGGGATATGTACACTGATCATCAGGGCACTGATGATCAGTGTAGCCCCAGCAGTGCCACCTGTCAGTGTCCATCAATGCCAGCTGTCAGTGCTCATCAGTGCCTCATAAATGCCACATCAGTGCCTACCAGTGCACATCAATGCCACATATCAGTGCTCCCTCATCTGAGCTGCCTTTCAGTGCTACCTTTCAGTGCCCATCAGTGCTGCCTGTCAATGCCCATCAGTGCCACCTATCAGTGTCCATAACTGCAGCCTCATTAGCGCATATCAGTGAAGGAGAAAAATCACTTATTTACAAAATTTTAAAACAAAAACTTTTTTTTTTTTTTTTTTTTTTTTTTTTTTTTTTTATTTTCAGTTTTTGGTTTGTTTAGCAAAAAAATAAAAAACCCTGAGATGATTAAATACCACCAAAAAAAAGCTCTCTGTCTCAAAAAAAATTATACAAATTTCATATGGGGTACAGTGTTGCATGACCACGCAATTGTAATTCAAAGTGTGATGGCACTGAAAGCTGAAAATTGGCCTGGGCAGGAAGGGGGTATAAGTGCCCAGTAGGCTAGTGGTTAAATTAATACTTTGTTGAAACATCTTTTTGATTTTATTCCAGCACTCAGTCTTTTTGGGTATGAGTCTATCAGCATGGCACATCTTGACATGGCAATATTTGCCCACTCTTCTTTGCAAAAACAATCAAAATCTGCTACATTGCGAGGGCATCTCTCCTGTGCACAGCCCTCTTCATATCACCCCACAGATATTCGATCGGTTTCAGGTCTGGGCTCTGGCTGCGTCATTCCAAAACTTTAATCTTCTTTTGATGAAGCCATTCCTTTGTTGATTTGGATACATGCTTTGGCTCGTTGTCATGATGAAAGATGATGTTCCTCTTTATGTTCAGCTTTCTAGCAGAAGCCAATATTGTGCCAATATTGACTGGTATTTGGAACTATTCATAATTCCCTCTACCTTGACTAAGGCCTCAGTTCAAGAAGATGACAAACCGTCCCAAAGCATGATGCTGCCACTGCCATGCTTCACTGTGGGTATGGTGTTCTTTTGGTGATGCGCAGAGTTTTTGCGCCAAATATCATCTGTTTTGGAATTATGGCCAAAAAGTTCAACCTTGGTTTCATCGGCCCATAACACATTTTCCCTCCTGCTTTTGGGAGACTTCAGATGTGGTTTTGCAAAATTTAGCTGGGCTTAGATGTTTTTCTTCATAAGAAAAGGCTTCCATCTTGCCACTCTACCCCATAGCCCAGACATATGAAGAATACAGGAGATTGTTGTCACATGTATCACACAGCCAGTACTTGCCAGATATTCCTGCAGCTCCTTTAATGTTGCTGTAGGCCTCTTGGCAGTCTCCCAGACCAGTTTTCTTCTTGTCTTCAATTTTGGAGGGATGTCCAGTTCTTGGTAATGTCACTGTTGCTCCATATTTTCTCCACTTCATGACTGTCTTCACTGTGTTCCATGGTATATCTAATGCCTTGGAAATTCCTTTGTACCCTTCTCCTGACTGATACTTTTTAACAATGAGATCTCTCTGATGCTTTGGAAGCTCTCTGCGGACCATGGCTTTTGCTGTAGGATGCGACTACAAAAATGTCAGGAAAAACCTACTAGAACAGCTGGGGTTGGGGTTAATCAGATTTCAGTTTGTTGTTCAACTGAGTTGTACAGTATATAGGTCACATTAAAGGTGGAAAAAGTTCTGAACGGATTTATCTTATTTTTTTTACATCACAGAAACCTGACATTTTAACAGGGTGTGTGACTTTTTTTATAGTGTGTGTGTGTGTGTGTGTGTGTGTGTGTGTGTGTGTGTGTGTGTGTGCGTTATGTTCTGCACTGAAATTCTACTAGGTTTTTAGGGAGCTTGGAAACTTTTTGCAACAATTAACCCTTTGCAGGCATAGCTTAATTATCTGTAATCTGAATATGCTCTGTCCTGACAAGTGTGTTTTTTTTTTTTTTTTTTTTTTTGTGTGTTTTTTTTTTCCAAGGTTTAAAAGCTAGCCTTCTTGCATCACCACCCATTTTCAGCTAGACTTCATATGATGTCCTGAGAGTGAAATGGTTATATAAAGAATTTGCAGCTAGCAATTCCCTGTTTAAGTAGAAGTGATTTGAGTGGCTATCACTTCTGCTGGTGGTGGAAGGGGGGGGTCCCTCTTTATTGCTATTACAAGGGATGTTGTTCATCCCTTGTGATAGCAGTAGTATTAATGGCAAAAGACACTGTTGAAAAAAAAGTTTATATTTAAAAAAAAAAAGTATGTAAGGCTCCCGTCTGTGTGTGTGTGTGTGTGTGTGTGTGTGTGTTCTCAAATTTTGATGGTGTCGTGTTTAAAAGCATCAGAATTGTAGCTAAATGTGTATAATACATTTTCAATTGTTGCAGTGTTTCCTTATTAAAGTAATTTTGATCCTATTTTTTTTGTTTTTTTCTATAAATCATACAGGTATGGTGTATAGTCACTAATCAGTGAATTTTAGTAGCTGCGACCATTGTAAAGTACTGCAAAGCAAGAAGTGGAGCTTAAATATTTTCTAGGCAAATATAGCTTCCCACATGTACCCATGAATTGCAAACTGCTCAGAAACGAGTGTTTAAAGTGATGTGATATTAATGGCAATTTTAGAAAGAGAAACTTGCATAACGAACATGTCATATTTGCCTGCTCTGTAAAGTGGTTTTGCACAGAGCAGCTCTAATCCTCCTCTTCTCGGATCCCCCGCCGACGCTCCCGGCCCCTCCCTCCTGCAAAATTCCCCCAAAGCAAGCGGCTTGCCATAGGGGAACCCAAGCACGCTCTCTCCTGATCCGCTTGTCTGTGTGTCACTTCACACAGAGCTGCGGCCTGGCCCCACCCCTGCTCTTTCTTCATTGACTCACTGACTGTGATGTCTCAGCCAATGAGGAGGGAGGGCTCTCAAGGCTGCTGCACACAGGATTCTTACTTTCTTGCAACTTTAAGGGCAAAAAATTCTCTTAACTCGGGTAGTGTTGCTACATTTAGCTTCTTCTATTGAAGATGCAATAGGGAGCCATATTTTTGTCCACTTAGTAAAAAGACTTCCAAGTAGAGAATTATCTGTACATCTGCTTTTCTCAGGCTGAAGATGGTCATGCTGTTGCTAAGAAGCAGCTGGAAAAGGAGACTTTGATGCGTGTTGATATGGAGAACCGCTGCCAGAGTCTGCAGGAAGAGCTTGAGTTCAGAAAAAACATATATGAGGAGGTAAGATTTCCATAGTGGGTGAGAAGAGGTTTGTGTTGGCTGTTGAAGCTGTATATTTACCTTTTCTCTTGATTACAGGAATGTAGAGAAAGCAGGAAACGCCATGAGCGCAGCATAGTGGAGGTGGACAGGGGTAGCAAATATGACTACGAATCCAAACTGGCACAAGCTCTAGATGAGCTCAGGAAACAGCACGATGAGCAAGTTAAGGTCTACAAAGAAGAGCTGGAACAAACCTATCAAGCTAAGGTAATGTGATTGAACTATGATTCTTGTTTTAGAATAGTGGTAAACCATGAACATTGTTTTTAAATACAAAAAGCTGCTATTATAAATATTCAACTATAATGAATCTCCCGCAGTATTCATGCAAAGCAGTGTGCTTACAGTGAAGCGTGCACACACAGCCGCCATATTAAAACAGCACACAGTTAACCCTTTGATCGCTCCAGATTTGAACCCCTTCCTGCCCAATGTCATTAGTACGGTGTCAGGGCTTTTTATTACACGATTACATGATCACTGTGTCAAAATGCCCGATGCAGTTCCGCCATAAGTTGCTGATCGTTGCCATTGCTAGTGGAACAAATTCCAGTGTGTATATACCGCCATTTGTAAACGCTATAACTTTCACGTAAACCAATTAATGTACACATATTGGGATTTTTTTCTATTTTCTTTTAAAGCATGTGTAGCAGAATACATTTTGGTGTAAATTTTTATGACTACATTTTTTTTTTTTTTTTTTTACTGGACATGTTTAACCGCCTCCCACCCGCCATATAGGGTAATGATGGAAGGGTGGCGGTTCTCTCGTTCTGGGAGGTCCTCGTATGACGTCCTCACATTCTAACTGTGCGTGCGCTCCCTCGGGCGATCGGCGGTGCACTGTGTCCCTGAGACACAGCGGATCACCAGTCACTGTAAAGAGTCGATGACATCGGCTGTGTCATGTGATCAACTGTGTCCAATCACAGCTGATCAAATGTAAATAGGAAATGCCAGTTATCGGCAGTCCTCACCTCCCGCTGACCGCTCGTGAGTAGAGGAGAGCCGGTAATTGGCATTACTCAGAGCGGACATCTACATTAGGGCACTGATGATCAGTGTCGCCTGTTAGTGCCCATCAATGCCACATATTGGTGCCCATCAGACCTGCCTATCAGTGCCGCCTCATTAGTACACATCAGTGAAGGTGAAAAATTACTTATTTACAAAATTTTATAACGCAAACTTTTTTTTTTTTTTTTTGTTTAACAAAAAATAAAAACCCCAGTGGTGATTAAATACCACCAAAAGGAAAGCTGTATCTGTCTCAAAAAAAAATGATGATAAATTTTGTTTGACATTTGCGTGGTCATGCAACACTGTACCCAAAGTACAACAGCGCTGAAAGTTGAAAATTGGACTGGGCAGTAGGGGGGTAAAAATGCCTAGTAGGTTAATAGGAAAAAGTAAAAATGTTTTTTCTCAAAATTATTGGTTTTCTTTTTTTTTTTTTTTTTTTTTTTTTTTTGTGTGCAAAAAATAAAAACTGCACAGACGATCAAATACCACCGAAAGCTCTGTTCATGGGGGGAAAAAAAAAGGACCCAAATTTTGTTTGGGTGAAGCATTGCATGACTGCGCAATTGTCAAAGTAACGCAGCACCATATCGCAAAAAATGGCCTGGTCAGGAAGGGGGGTAAATACTCTGGAGGAAAAGTGGGTTAAAAACAGTCAGTCATGTTTACAGTTTCCCATATAAACTGTCAAGCCATACCCATTCATTAGATATTCACAACTGGTTTATCACAAACATTTTTACTTGATATATCAACAGATGCCATAGAATAAATGCATCAAAGATGCAAGGGAGCCTTTTCACAGTTGATGTATTTATACAAGTTTCACAGCATAGAGCCGCTTCTTAAGGAACAATGGGAATCACATCTACAGAGAAAACAAGACCATATAATAGAATATTCCAGAAAACCCTACCACTAGGCAGGGATCTAAAAGGCTTAGCCAGAGTTAGAGATTGTACGGATGCTTCCGGGCTAGAGTCCAGGGAGCCACATTCTACCCCAAGCGGGTATGAGAGACACACTAGCAGATCAGACACCCAATTAAAAGCTATTAGTAAAAGAAAATTTTGGTTCCAGTAAATAGTAGCCGTTTTAAAAGGCTAAGGCAATGATCCAATTATATCCAAAAGGATATGATCGGCTGCAGTTGTGTGTATTTAGGGTATATCATAGCCACTTTGTAATATGTGACTTGTAGTGGCACATGATTCCAGGTATTTTATGCCCAAGGTTCACATATATAGCCTATTGTTTCGCAATAACATTAATATATGCATTTTTTTTTTTTTTTTTTGCTTACATTAGTGCTGTAGGTTGTGGGACATAATATTTGCTAACATGTAAGAATTGTGTCCTACCTTTTTTGGTACCTTTTTAGCTATTGAAGGCCCCCATGCTGGATTGTTTTATCACACCTGGGTTACTATTTTGGATGAGTCTTGCCACAATTGGCACTCAGCTGGAAGAGAGAGACCTTGAATGCTTCATGTCCCACCCTAATGTGGTCCACCTAAAAACACTGATACCATATCAGTGTTTTTAGATTGACCACATTAGGGCAGGACATGAAGATTTCAAGTTGTCTCTTCCAGCTGAGTGCCAGTTGTGGTAAGACTCATCTAAAATTGCAACCCAGGTGCCTTTTGGATATATCCGGATCATTGCCTTAGTTTTTTAAAACCGCTACTATTTACTGGAACCAAAATTTTCTTTTAACAGCGTTTATCGGGTGTCTGAGCTGCTGGTGTGTGTGTCTCATACTTGCTGCGGGGTACGATTTGGCTCCCTGGACTCTAGCCCAGGGTGTATCCGTCCAATCTCTAACCCTGGGTAAGCCTTTTAGATCCCTGCCCAGTGGTAGGGACAGTATTAATATTGATTGTGTCCCTTGTGCTGCTAGCTTGTCTAAGTTGAAATTCAAAGTCCCCTGCCCCATTTCCCATACCCTAAACCCACCCCCCCCTTTCTTTATACCCCTGCAGCTGTAATCCTCCAGCCAACTTTTCTAAACTACGGTCAATACTACAAAGTATTATATTTGACCAAATCCTAGAAACAATGAACCCTGAGGAAAAATGGGAATATTTTAGGAGCATAGTAAATAAATAAAGGTATGATTCAATGTATTCCAAAGGGCAATAAATCTAAAAGAGCGAAGGTTAATCCTGGGTGGCTAAACTTTAAAGTAAAAGGACATCTCAAAGAGGAAAACAAAAAACATCCTTCAAGGAATTTAAGGCAGAGGGGGTTATTGTCTGCATTCCAGCACTACAAGGAATGCAACAAAAGTGTAAAGCAATCAAGGTGGCTAAAACAGACTACGAGAGACTCTTAGCAGAGGAGCGTAAAAAAAAAATCCCAAGAAATGTTTTAAAATCTATCAATAGTACAAAAAAAAAAAAGTGAGATCAGAACGTACTGGCCCCCTAAAATATGACGGGAAGCTGGTTATAAATGACAAGAAGGCAACTGTACCAAATACAATCTTTAATTTTTTTTTTTTTTTTTCTCCATCAAAAATGCATGCACAGTGTTTTCTGTGTATTCCAATGGTCCTAATTTACACCAGTGCAGTCAATTTCCGGTGCACGAAAAAAAAAGTAGAACATGCTGCATTTTTTTTTTCTGCACTGAACCATACTGGAACATAGCAAACTGTACCAGAACTGCGTTTGGTGTGAACTGTAAGCAAAAACGTATCCGGAATACATCCAGAGTGAGATTTTGTAGTGTGAACTGGCACTTACAAAGAAAAGGGAGGGGTATAGCAATCAAGCCTGTATCATTAGTAACATATATCACAGAATCTACCCTTGTGGCTAACAGAAGACCGTGTCCGAAACAGACTTGAAAATCTCGACACAAATCACCAGGACTTACACCTAAGAGTCCTCAAAGAACTTAGTCAGACTATAGCCAGGCTGCTATTCCTAATTTTTATGGACCGTATACTGACAGTAATAGTACCAGCTGATTGGCAAAGGGCCAACGTGGTACCGATATTCGAAAAAGGGCAGAGACATACCTGGGAACTACAGACCAGTCAGTCTAACATCAATAGTATGTAAACTAATTGAGGGGATAATAAGGGATTATATCTATGAATTTGCTGAAGGAAACCGTATATTTAGTAGTAGTAATCAGCATGGATTTATGAAAGGTCGTTCTTGCCAAACTTATCTGTTAACTTTCTACGAGGAAGTGAGCTGCAATCTAGATAAAGGAAGGGCGGTGGATGTGGTGTATCTGGATTTTGCAAAAGCATTCAATACAGTTCAACATAAACATTTAATTTACAAACCGAGATCTATAGGCATGGACCATAGGATTTGTTCATAGTTAGAAAACTAGTTACAGGGGCACGTCCAACGGGTGGTGATAAATGGCGAGTACTCAGACTGGACTGATGTGGTAAGTGGGGTACCACAAGGCTCTGTCCTGGGATCAATTCTGTTTAAATTTTTTATAAATGATATAGAGGCTAGTATAAATAGCTCAATATCAGTGTTTGCTGACAATACAAAGCTAAGTTGGATGACAATTTTGCAGCAAGATACAGATACTTTAAAAGAAGACCTCTAACATAATCAGGTAGATAAATATATGACAAATGAGGTTTAATGTTGAAAAATGTAAAGTAATGCACTTGGGGGCTAAAAATAAAAATTCAAACTACTTGCTAGGTGGAGAACCCCCTTGGGGAATCTAGGATAAAAAAGATCTGGGGGTTCTAATAGACTAGCTTTGCTTGGCATTGCATGCTATTGCTAACAAAAATTAGCGTGCATTTAAAATGTGATTTACTCGAGAGAATACTATAATCCTGCCACTTTACAAAAGTTTTGTTTGGCCTCATCTGCAGTATGCTGTCCAGTTTTGGTTACCAATCCTCAGGAGGGGGGGGGGTGCTGGAACTGGAGAGAGTCCAAAAAAGAGCAGCAAAGTTATTAAAAGGACTGGAGGACCTCCGTTATGAGGAGCGATTACTAGCATTAAACTCCAAGCCCCCCCCCCCCCCCCCGAAAAGAGAAACTTGATAGGGGATATGATGGCAATATGCAAGTATCTAAATGGTGATTCTAGTATAGGGACTAAACTGTTAAGTCTCAAAGAGTGTAAGAAGACACAAGGCGGAGGAGAAGCGGTTTAACCTTAACCTGTTTTAGGTTTTTTTTCCACTGTCAGGGCGGTAAGTCTGTGGAACTCGCTTTTGCATTTGGTGGTGTTGGCAGGAATCCTTGATGATGATAATTAAAAAAAAAATTAAAATTAAAAAAATAAACGTCTTGGATGGGTATCTTGACTTAACACAGCAGGGATATGGACAATGTTTTTGACATGAACACACCCACAGGCTTAACTGGATGGACTGGTGTCTTTATTCAACCTTACCAACTGTGTAACGTGTTGGAGGACAAGGGCCTCTTCCCTACAACTCTGGCCTGGTGGTTGGGAAGGGGTGATAACCACAGTTCAGTAAGTCATTTATTGAAAGAAAAAAAAAATTCCCAGATGTACATTGTCAATCACAACATACAGTGATGTAGGTCCATGTCAATGACATAAATGGCTGCCAACCATCATGAAAAAAAAAGCCTGCCGATCCCAACCACTTCTGTCACTCACCGGTGCTAAATGATGGCTCTCTTCTCCCTGCCACTAAGGTAAACACAGGGCTGCATCACCAGGTGACCTCTGCCCACTTATAACATTAACCATATATAGCGCAATGATGTTATAAGTGGGCAGGGGTCACCTGGTGACCGCCTCTTTTTGAGTTTAGTGTTGGGGGTAAGCGGAGCTGTCATTCTGCGAGGGGCGTGGACAGGTCCGTCGGGCAGGGGGCTTTGTTTCATGTGGGTCGGCAGACATCTTTGCTGGTTGACGTGTAACTATATCGTATGACATGATTGATATCCATTAGGGACACCTATGTACACTTCCCAATCTGTGTGATGTCTTTACATTTTGGCTTGTGGGTGCTATGTACACCATACTCATTCACGTGGGGGGGCGGCCCTTTAATGGCTTCCGGATTCCAATAAGTTACAGCCCCACAATAGTCCAGCTAGGATTGTGAGGAAGAGACCTCCATGTGGAAGGACATGCACGTTGTGTCATTTTTTGATGTCCACTCTTGTTTACATTGTGCTGTCAGTGAGGGATTCCCCATTTACAGCAGGGATGAATTATGGTTAAGGACACTGGTGGGCAGATGTAAAAACTGATGTTAACTGATCCGTTGTTTCTTTGACAAAAAAAGTGACTAAATAGATGACACCCATATGAAAAGAGCCCTATTCTAAAAAAAAAAAATAGATTCAGATTAGGAACACAAACTAGATTGTTGATAGTTTTATCACCGTTATTTCTTGCTAATTTCAGTTGGACAATATCAAGCGTTCCTCTGACCATACTGACCAAGCTGCTGAGGCTGCCCGTGAGGAGCTGATGGAAGCACGAATGAGGATTGAGTCACTTGGCTACCAGCTGTCTGGTCTACAGAAGCAGGTACAGCACACAATAAATAAAAACATATTCTGTATTTTTACTAGTCACAGTACATACAAAATGTATGCTTAAAGATATTGTACATTTTCAAATGGTTTTGGTTGTTTTTAACTACGTTTTAGTGTAATTATATACTGTTTGTTTTGCCCTTGCAATGATGGGCTCACATGTTGCAGCTGCAGTTTGTAGAGCCATGGCTGATTTAGTTCTCCTATGTCCATGTTTTACTGCAGCTAGCCTGTTCCTAGTCACTAAAAGGACAGGCAACTTCTTGTGCTGGGTCACACAATGTTAAAGGTGAATTTATTTAACAAAGTGGATTGATTACAGGTGAATGCAGCGGAGGATCGTATGCGTGAACTAGAGGAATTGCTGGCCAATGATCGTGAAAAGTACCGAAAAATGCTGGATGCTAAAGAGAGAGAGATAGCCGCAATGAGGGACCACATACAGCAACAACTGACAGAATATCAGGAACTACTAGATGTTAAATATGCTCTGGACATGGAGATTAGTGCCTACCGCAAGCTCCTAGAGGGAGAAGAGGAGAGGTCAGTCCTTTTTATGATAAGTATATTTGAATATGGGATGGATGATGAAAATCTCTCTAAAACTTGAAAGTTGCTTCCGGGTATGCTTTATGAACATTTGTCTTGTCTTTTTATGACTGTCCTTATTCAATTTAAAGGTTAAAACTGTCACCAAGCCCACAATCTCGTGTTACGGTGTCAAGAGCCACATCAAGCAGCAGCTCCTCTACTGCCCGCCAGTCTCGTAGCAAGAGAAAACGTGTTGAAGTAGAAGAAAGTATGGAAGGTGGCACTATCCAGTCTTCAAGTAGTTGGGCCAGGCATGCCTCTCGGGAGGTGAACACCGATGTTGAAGAGGAGGGTACTGGTGATAGAGGAAGCAGCAGCAAATTCCATGTATCGCAACAATCCTCTGCGACTGGCAGTATCTCCATAGAGGAATGTGGTAACGAGGGAAATTTTATTCACCTGAAGAATAGCTCTGACAAGGTGATTTTGTGAGCATTTTTTTTGCAGTACAGTTGTTTGAGTGCCTACTGTCATCAGTCTGGGTCTATTGACTCTTCTTCTTTTTGTGGTCCTGTTGCTGCAATTTTGCCTGTTTTTTGTTGTACACTCTTTTCTTTGTTGCTTGTGATGATCTCATGGATGAAGAATCCACTCCTGTGTCCTGTACGATTAGGATAATAAGGAATACAGGTACATCAAAATTCCTATCTGGGAGTACAGGTCTTTCCCCCACATCTGTGGAGTGGGCTGGGTTATATGGCTACACTGGAGGGTGGTTCTCGGCAAAGCTTTTGCCAGTGTCCAATCATTTGAAGGTAGCTGCATTTAACCCATTGTCCAAAAAATAATTTTCTGTGACCTGAACTGCACTCTGTATGGAATTGACATTACATTCCTACCTAGATTTAATGACTTATTGTATTGGGTTTGAACTATTGAGATGCTGTGTGTGTGTGTGTTTGTTTTTTTTTTTTTTTTTTTTTTTTTTTTTGTATATTTTTTTGTAATTAAGGAATACTATTTTCTTATTCCATTTTCTGTTACCTCCTAGGATCAGTCTCTAGGTAACTGGAGACTAAAAGTTAAAATTGGGGACAAGGAAGAAATGGTATACAAGTTCACACCAAAGTATGTACTTAAAGCAGAGCAGTCTGTTAAGGTAAGTTGTGGTGGAAGAACTGATATACACCGCTCACAAAAAATTAAAGGAATACTTTTTTTAAGCAGAGTATAGAATCAAGTCAGTTTAAAATCTTGGGATATTGATCTGGTTACTTAAATGGCAGAGGGGGTTGTTAATCAGTTTTAGCTGCTTTGGTGTTAATGAAATTAACAGGTGCACTAGATGGGCAACATTGAGATGACCCCCAAAAAAGGAATGGTTTTACAGGTAGAGGCCACTGACCTTTTTTTCCCTACTCATCTTTTCTGACTTTTTTTCTATATAAGGTATTAATAATGCCGCGCTCCTATTTGTATACATATATATCTCTCTCTATATCCAATCTGTGCTCATTCTACTTAATAGATAGTGATATTCCATAAACTAATATGATTAAATGATTGCTAATATATTGCCAATACACACATACACAACCTAAATTTGTGTAATAAAATAATCATCAATATAGGACCTTGATATAATGTGAATAATGAATAAGTGGATAAATCAATATAAATATAAATATAATTAGTGCCACTCTAATTATATGTGATCAATCCGGCAATATTAGTGCAAAAATATTCTAATGTGCACGTGCATAAGTGTAATACATGAAAAATAAATAAATAAAGTCTTTATAGACAAGTGCCAAAGTGCAGGTGAATCCTTGTTCCCTCTCGCCAGGTGCCTTATGGTCTCCCTATGCGCTCACCTTTAAATTTGCATGAATGAATTCAGGCAAATAAACTTTTTGATCCTTCCAGGATCGGTGGGTTGATGCTCTGTGTAATTAGATGTGCCAAGGTGTAGATGTAGGTACTCCTGTACTGTCCTCTTTCTCTTTAACAACTGCTCATACACCGATATAAAGACCAGCTCTTTCTCCTTATTCCCCTCCAGGGGTCATCTCCTTCTCATTTCCTCCTCTCACCCATGTGGAATTTAAGGGTCAGATGTAGAGAAAAGAAAAACAAACCATTGTGCTTTATCCTTTTAAAAGTGGAAATTTATTTCTGCCTGTAGTGATATTTCACAGCGATACACAGTTCCTTGGTAGTCCAGGGCGGCATAAATAACACAGTCAATAGTGGGTGAGCAATCCTGTACCTCTGCTCTCCCTCCCTGCCTGCCTCTGTCTGCGTTGGAATCGCCGAGCCTCGCCGCTGCAATGTCGTGACGTCAGAGCCCCTCCCCTACGCGTTGCGTCACAGGGTCACGTGACTTCATCAGGGGGATAATGAATCATTATCCCCCTGATGAAGTCACGTGACCCTGTGACGCAACGCGTAGGGGAGGGGCTCTGACGTCACGACATTGCAGCGGCGAGGCTCGGCGATTCCAACGCAGACAGAGGCAGGCAGGGAGGGAGAGCAGAGGTACAGGATTGCTCACCCACTATTGACTGTGTTATTTATGCCGCACTGGACTACCAAGGAACTGTGTATCGCTGTGCAAAATCGCTACAGGCAGAAATAAATTTCCACTTTTAAAAGGATAAAACACAATGGTTTGTTTTTCTTTTCTCTACATCTGACCCTTAAATTCCACATGGGTGAGAGGAGGAAATGAGAAGGAGATGACCCCTGGAAGGGAATAAGGAGAAAGAGCTGGTCTTTATATCGGTGTATGAGCAGTTGTTAAAGGAGAAAGAGGAGAGTACAGGAGTACCTACATCTACACCTTGGCACATCTAATTACACAGAGCATCAACCCACCGATCCTGGAAGGATCAAAAAGTTTATTTGCCTGAATTCATTCAGGCAAATTTAAAGGTGAGCGCATAGGGAGACCATAAGGCACCTGGCGAGAGGGAACAAGGATTCACCTGCACTTTGGCACTTGTCTATAAAGACTTTATTTATTTATTTTTCATGTATTACACTTATCCACGTGCACATTAGAATATTTTTGCACTAATATTGCCGGATTGATCACATATAATTAGAGTGGCACTAATTATATTTATATTGATTTTTCCACTTATTCATTATTCACATTATATCAAGGTCCTATATTGATTATTATTTATTACACAAATTTAGGTTGTGTATGTGTGTATTGGCAATATATTAGCAATCATTTAATCATATTAGTTTATGGAATATCACTATCTATTAAGTAGAATGAGCACAGATTGGATATAGAGATATATATGTATACAAATAGGAGCACGGCATTATTAATACCTTATATATTGATCTGACACTACCAAGTGAGTTTGTGTAAGTGCCAGCGCACCTAACACAAAAAACTAGCACATAATTGTTTAACACTCACAGAATACCTCATTCTTAATAGCTCACAAGGATTCACATTATATATATGACTTTTTTTCTAGTTTTGCATTTGACTAGGGTAATTGTTACTACTGGTAGCATGAGGCAATAGCTGGACTCTACAGAGGTTTCACAGGCAGTCCAACTCCTCCAGGATGGCACATCAATACGTGCCATTGCCAGAAGGTTTGCTGTCTCCCAGCACAGTCTCAAGAGCATGGAGGAGATTCCAGGAGATAAGCCGTTACTCTAGGAGAGCTGGACAGGACCTTGATGAACACTGCCATAGCCATACAAAATAACCTCCAGCAGGCCACTGGTGTGAATGTCTGACCAAACAATCAGAAACTGACTCGGGGTGGCCTGAGGGCTCAATGTCCTCTAGTGGGCCCTGTGCTCACTGCTCGGCACCATAGAGCTTGGTTGGCATTTGCTATTGAACACCAGCATTGGCAGGTCTGCCACTGGCGCCCTGTGCTTTTCACAGATGAGAGCAGGTTCACCCTGAGCACATGTGATAGACATGAAAGGATCTGGAGAAGCCGTGGAGAATGTTATGCTGCCTGTAACATAGTTCAGCATGACTGTTTTTGGTGGTGGGTCTGGAGAGGCATATCCATGGAGGGATGCACAGACCTCTAGAGGCTAGACAATGGCACCCTGACTGCCATTGGGTATCGGGATGAAATCCTTGGACCCATTGTCGGATCCTACGCTGGTGTGGTGGGTCCTGGGTTCCTCCTGCTGCACGACAATGCCCGGCCTCATGTGGTGGGAGTATGCGGGTAGTTCCTACAGGATGAAGGAATTGATGCCATTAAATGGCCACCATGCTTGTCTGACCTAAATCCAATAGAACACCTCTGGGATATTATGTTTCGGTCCATCTGACTCAACTAGGTTGCACCTCAGACTGTCCAGGAGCTCACTGATGCCGTGGTCCAGATCTGGGAGGAAATACCCCAGGTTGATTAATTTTTATTTCCATTAAACGATGGGGCATCCTTACATTACTAACATAGTACCCAGAATGAATGAATGAAAGAGAGGGAAAGTTTAAAAATAGATAGGAAGTCAGGTGTGTGATCTACTTCCTCCATCTACTCAAGAATTATTTTCTATACCCACTGTAAAAATCCACTATTGAGAAATGAGATTTCATCCACCCCCCCATCAAGATTGAAAGAAATGACAGGAAAAAATGTTTATATATTGGATATCTCATTGATTCGATAGGGACCAAAGAAGGGTTATTGCAGAAAATTCCTATAATATGTGATCTATAAGAGCAAAAATAAGAAGGATCCTGCTCTGTTTTAGCTTTCACTTGGATGTTGCACTAAATACAGCTGGATAAAACAAACTTTCTATCTTCATTTCATGTTGCAAAGCAACCAAATGTGATTATTTTAAAAGGGGGTGATTCTTTTCTATACCCACTGTAGTTTAATTTTCTACGGAAATGGTTAAAAATGCATGTCCTAAGTAGCCGTTACAAAAAGGTCAGGTAAAGCGAGTTGAAAATCAAATGGAGCCGATTGTAACTCAAAATGGTGCAGATATTAAGTCTGATACTTGGGAAGATCATTACTAGCAGAGGGTGAAGTGTGATACTCACAGAAAAGCACATGTGCATGCAGACAATTCAGTAATAGTGCTGATGTGCCATTTCCATCGTATAACAAGGGATTATCAAATGTAAGTAAATGTTGGTTCCTGTTTTCAAGCACTCAGGAACCAACAAATGTTTCAACACTCATGGGGTATGATGACCTGTTTTGCTCATATGGTGGCATTTTATAGTATTTGGCCATTCCCCAGAAGTCCTTATGCATAAAGGTTTGCAGATGTAGTAATATCAAAGTGTACTACCTGTGCTGGGCATGGAGTGTTGTGTTGCATCTGTTACACTTTTCCCCACTTGTCTGTAATGACTTAATAATGACAAATTTCTTTTTTTTTTCTTTTCTGGTTTAAAAAAATGTTTTAGAAATGTCACCTTAACGCTAATTTTTTTATTTTTTTTTTTTTGGTAGATCTATAGTGCTGATGCT